GGAGGAGGCGGGACCGCAGCCAGGGCGGGCGCCGCAAAGCTCGCGGCCGGTGCGGACGCCGCAAGGCCCGCGGCCGGGGCGGACGCCGCCAACCCCGCCAGCGGGGCGGTGTGATCCGCTCGCGGCAGGAGCGGCGGGACGACGCCTGCGGAATCCGCAGCGGACGGCGGCGCCGCGGTGTGGACCACGAGGTCACGCCCGAGCGAGGGCGCCGGCGGCGTGGAGAAGACGGAGCCGATGCTCCTTGTCCCGATCGGAGCCGGAACGGAGACGGCATCGAGCGGGAGGTTGAGCAGAGCCGCAAGAGAGGCCGGGAGGAAGCCCGCAGCAGTGGAACCGGTGGTGGCGGCACTCGACATGGCGGCGGCGCGATCGGTGGCGCGGCGGCGGCGGTGAAGGCGGCGGCGGCTGCGGCGGCGGTGCGGGTATTAAGGTTTAGAAGCGGAAGCGATCGTAACCTAGCGTGATACCATGTAAGACAATAAGTTTTGGGAACCAGCACAACCCTCTAGGGGTGGCTTATCTCATTATATATAATGGTTGTGTTACAATACGTACATAGGTACAGAAGTTATACATAGTCTAACACCAGGAAGTCGCGTTTTGGTGAAGGAGGGCCGACCGGGGACCGCAATCTCGTCGTGGTGAAGAAGGGAAAGTCCGATGGCGAGGAGGAGGAGGACGACGATTGCGTGGTTCTAGACAGCAACCCCGATGTGCCGGTTGCCGTTGTGAAACAGGAGGGGAGTGCCGGCTTTGATGGCAGCTTGGATGAACTGCTCATCGTTGCAGAGAAAGGCCAGGTATTTGTGCCTTCCGTTATGAAATTTGTGCATGCGGATACACACGGCGCCTTGTTATATTGGGGGCTATCTACAGAGGTGTCATCAGATGTGCTGTACTGTGCGAGTATTTGTGCTGATTTAGTAGCAGGTGTGACTTTAGAATCGACTGACAAAGGTGATTTATTTGTTTGCCGCTGCTGCTGCAAGACATCATCCTCAATCCAAACACTATGCAAGTGGTTAAAATTGCAGTATTCCATTCTATTAAAAAAATCTCCATTCCATTACATGAGGTTTTCATCTCCTACATAGTACTAAGCGAAATGATCTATAGAATCAAAACAGAATTAGTCCGGTCTCATTATGAACCGAAAGGGGCTGGCACTTTTCCAGAAAATCTCTAGCCAACCTTCCCACAAGAATACCTGGATCGAATCAGAGTTCACGTCGTCCGCCTTGAACAAATAGAAATGAACTGTACAATATCCAAGTGGGTTTGCTTAAGTCTCCATGTCCACATGTTTGTATTGACCATCGGTTATCTGCGCTTTTTCAGTTCATGTCAAATTTAATATTAGAAAGAGTTATACTATAATGCCAGAGTTTACCTCAGGCACTCCTTGATTATTGGCATTAACAATTGGTATGCTTCTGCAGGTAGCGTGCAGGGACTTCCCTCACTCGCGCCATTTATGCTCTAGCTTGCCCTTTGGCACTACTTCTCACGTCAGGCATTGTACCATGGTAAGTACTTAGCATTGTGATTGAAGTAACCATTGTCACTCCCTGATGCTGTTGGCAATATATCATGACACAATGAATATACCCGTAGCAGAGTAGTGTGCACAACAGTGACTTGATTTTTGTTTCTTCAAATGCAGTGCTACTGTTTTGTATGTGATGTTCCAGCTCCATGCAAATATTGGGGTAAAGGTCTATTGACTGATGATCATTGTCATGGTACCGATGACGAAATGAGCTGGAAAATACTGAGGCAGACATTCAGGCTCGGCCGCCTGACAGCATCTCTTTCAGAAAAATGCCAGAATGCCGTGCACCCACCAATGGTGCCACCCACACAGCAAGATGTACATCATCAAGTCTCAGCCCCACAGTCACATCCATCTTCCATGCCAGGTTTCTGTCACTAGTCTCTTGCTAATGGAAGCTCTCTTCTGAATGCTGAGCACCAAAACTAACAGAGATATACTCCTTACAGTCTTACCGAATGCAGGGCAAACTGTCGGTGCAGTAAGAGCATCTCCTTTGACAAGAGCTGAAAGAGGTAGAGACAATGCTCACACCGCTCGGGTTACTCGCACCGCCACCCCTTGCCCACAAGAGCCATACCAGGAGGAAGGGGATGAAGGGTGCACGCCTAAGGTGTACGTAGGGAACCTACACTACGATGTTGTCAGCGAGGACCTCGCCAAGCTCTTTGAGCAAGCTGGTGTTGTTGAGTTCTCAGAGGTAAGCCACTTAGCTCTTCATTATCTTTGTATGGTAATCGATATGTGAAAAAAGCGTGTTATGTTCTGACTCCTTAATAATGTATGCACAACTGAAATTGGCCCTGTAACCACTTCTGCAACACGATGCAGTTTCCTGTATGATTGTAATGTCATGATGTGCGCTGCTAAAGCTCACAGGGTAGATCTACTAGAATCTAGGTGGCTGCTTTCTAAGCTTCTTGTGTGATATGTTGAATTTGCACCAGATTGCTTTGCGATACTGTTTTGGTAATTTGGTTTGCAAAGAATGTTTGTGCTATCTGGAGATGCTGTTGATTACACGCAATGTTTGATTTATGTTTTGCCACTCGGATCGGCTACTGCTGTTAATTTGTCAGGTGTGCGTATGTCTGGTTTTCTCTTTGTTCTGAAACACAACTTCTACATTTTTTATGCCTAGGTTATTTACAGCCGAGGAACAGGCCAGAGCCGTGGATATGGATTTGTCACCATGAGTACTGTTAAGGAGGCTGAGCTCGCTGTGGAGATGTTCGATGGCTTTGTGAGTACATTTGATAAATAATACCAATAATTTATTGGGGCTAGTGTCCTTATATTTTTCTGAAGTTAAATAAAGTTGAAGGAACCTGTTTAGAGAGCCTGAGCTCCACTGTACCCTACATCCGTAAATTATAAATACTACTATCAAGAATTTAAAATATTCTTTAATAGAAGTTTGTGTGCTGCACAAATGAAACCAGAAAGATCCAAAATGACAAATGCATGAGTATCTAGTTTTTCTTTGACAGCTTAACCAAAAGTCATAAATTTATGGGAAATTTTGCGAACTCACATATTATAGTAATTCGCCAGTGTAATATTTTTTCAGAACATTTATTGAATTTTTGGTGTGTGGGCTCAATGGAGCGTGCGCACCAAAACATGTTATCGGGAACCTGTTCTATCTCATGTGATCATAGTTGAACTATATGCTTGGGCCGCTCCTAGTTTACATTGGAACACAGCTTCCTGCAATAGCTCCCAGTTTGTCATTCTGAAATCTCAATTATCTAATCTGAAGCCAACTTATTCATCGTCCTCTTCGTTTTTGTTAACTCTCTGCCAGCTTATTCATTCGTATGCTATGCGCATGAGAGAGGGTGTTCATTAGTATAATTCACTTTTTAGTTGTTCTTTTTGTCGAGCTTAGTGTCATGTGTAAGTCATATGCTACATAAGATAAGTTTGTGCTAAAGAATGCAGTTCTGATTGACCTTTTATGTGCACAGAAATTGTTTGGGATGCTTCTTATTGTGCACAAAGCAGCTCGGAGAGGCGCTCGGGAGGAAACTCCTTCCCATCAATCCAAGTCCGCATTCAGAATCTATGTGGGCAATCTGCCGTCGCATGTCGGTGACTCTTGGTTGGAGGAGTTGTTCAGCAAGCACGGCAAAGTGGTCGATGCTAGAGTCGTCTACGAGCACAGAGGAGGAACCTGGAGATCGCGGGGATACGGTTTTGTCACGATGGCCACAGAGGAGGAAACGTGTGACGCTGTTTATGCCCTCAACAGACAGGTCAGTGTAAAGATGTTTGTATCAACTGTCAGTTTGGGTCTCCATTCAGAAACTTGATTTTCTCTTTGAATTTCTGCAGATTCTGGAGGGACGTGCACTGCAGATTCACTTTGAACCCCTGTAAATATTAGTCAGTTCGTGTGCGCTCAAAGGTGTGCTGACGTGATGGCCACGTGGCCGTTTTTCTTCGTCCGATTCGGTTACAGCCTTAGTTGATCAATTAAACGAGTTTATGGTCTAAATTGATCACTTCTCGAGTCATTGCCCTAAAACGTGCAGTTAGTTCGAGTTAATGGACTAATGGCGCATTTCACTTTGTCTGTGAGACCACTTAGACAACAGGCTCTTTATCTTCTTTTCTTTTGAGGCCAATGTGACGGCAATGTGGCTTAATTGATGTTGAAGCCTGGGTAAAATGCGTGTTGAAATTTAACAGCAGGTTTGCTGCATTTGTAGGTGCATTGTTGCACATCTCATTATCATTCTATCCTTGCCCTGTTTTCCTCTATTCACTGTTATTTTTTAGCATTCCATCCTTGGCCTGCGTTTTCCAAAAGAAGACGAAAAGCCCAGTGTATAGTCATAGTAGCTGCTGCCAAGCGGTTTACCCACCTTTCTATCTGAATTATAGCGCCCTGTAGCGCGCTAATTACGTGAATAGCGCCATAGCAGCTGAACTTGCTAAAATATAGTGTTTCCTTTCCGAATACGTTATAATGGCGCTATAGCATCGTTATAGCGCTATATTTTTGTTGGGTGTGTCTAGGTCTCAGTCGACTGAGACTTCGCGAAGTCTAAGTCGAATGACATCACCTAGAACTGATTTTGCCCGTGTTGCCTCCCTGGTTAGTGGGTTCTAATTTCTCCCGTTCCGGGCCTTTCTTTATCTGTTTTTTATGTTTGAGTTGTTTGTTTGTTTGTCTTTTTATCAAAAGGGAAAAGAAACTACACCTGAAGCCCATCTGTACCTAAAATGACGAGAAATCCTTTCGTTCCTTGTTTCTTCTACATTCTTCTTCTTTTTGTCAAAAGCAGCCTCATTAGAAAAATTGCACGCACAAGTCAGCTTGGTCTATATGTGTGCGCATTTTGGTTAGAGTTGGGTTCAATTGATGAAACCAATCAGCTCCGTTCGTCAATTATAACAAAAACAGAGGTGCTCGGAACCTGACGGCGGCTACTTCAAAAACTGATCACAAGCTACTTCAATTTTTTTTTGTCCACTTCATTTTCGATTAGACACATCGAAAACTGCCCAAGAAAAAGGGGAATCCTCCATTTCAGAGCAACCAGAAATTGGGCTCTGCTCGGGCTGGATATTTTTGGAGAACATTAGAAGATGTTGAGGGTTGGGGCCACATTCCAGTGACCCGAGAAAAAAAACAAAAGGAGAAAAATAGAAAGAAAATGAAAAAAAAACAGGCTTAAATATAAAAATACTCTCGTTGTAAATAAATATAACACACTTTACGTCACTACTTTATTTCTTAAGAAAACAAAAATTCAAAATAAAAAACCTATATATTGCACTCGGCCATGACTCCTTAATTCATGGCAAACTTGATTTGCATGAGAGGAAACTTGAACTCTCAATTTAATTTAAATAACCAAAAATGAGAAAAGAAACTTTTCATTTTTCCAGAAAAATAAATGAAGGTCTCCATGAGAAGAAACTCATAAATTATGCAATTGCAGTCGACATGGCACACATGCAGTCGCAACTCAAGGAATGGGCATGCAACCGGCACAGAAAAATAAAATAAAAGATGCATCTTCTCGTCACTCTGGCGGCGGCGGCACACAAGACAAGCTATAACCCCTATGAAAATGCAGTTCAGGGGTGGACACGAATTGCAGTCGGGTGCCGACACTTGTAGTTGCGAGTCTAGTGGCACACATGCAATTGCAGTCAACATGGCCCGCATGCAGTTGCAGCTCTCGAAATCAGCATGCAATTGGGCACCAAAAAAATAAAAAATAAAAGTGCATCGTTGTCCTCACTTCAGCACCGCGCCAAACACGAAAAGCAACCCCTATGAAAATCGTTCAGGGATGGACATGAATTGCAGTCTGGTGCCGACACTTTCAGCTATTATTATAGTGGCGGACATGCAATTGCAGTCGACATTGCCTGCATGCAATTGCAACTCAGGGAATGGCCATACAACTGGCACAGACAAAAATAAAAAATAAAAATGCATCCTTGTCGTCACTGCGACGAGGGCGGCACACAAGACAAGCTATAACCCATATGAAAATGCAGGTCATTGATGGACATGAATTGCAGTCGAGTGCCGATACTTGTTGTGAGTCTAGTGAAAGACATGCAATTGCAGTCGACATGGCACGCATGCAGTTGCAACTCAGGGAATGGGCATGCAACTGGCATTCCAAAAAATAGTCACTCCAGCTGCGGTGGCACATAAAAACAAGCTATAACCCCAATAACAAATACAGCTTGGGGAAGGACAAGAATTGCAGTTTGGGCCCACACTTGCAATTGCGAGTCTAGTGGCGGACTTGCAATTGTAGTTGGCATGGCCAGCATGCAGTTGCAACTCACAAAATGGGCATGCAACTGGCACCCCAAAAAAGCATCCCTGTCGTCACCTCTACCGGCGGCACACAAGACAAGTTATACATATGAAAAGGCAGCTTAGGGGTGGACATGAATTGCAGACAGATGTCGACACTTGCAGTTGCGAGTCTAGTGGTAGATATGCAATTGTAGTCGACATGGCCCACATGCAGTTGCAACTCAGAGAATGGGCATGCAACTAGCACCCAAAATAAAAATAAAAATCCATCCTTGTCCTCACTCCCGTGGCAACGGCGCACGTGACAAGCTGTAACCCATATGAAAATGCGGCTCAGGGTGAACATGCAATTGGCGCCCCCTCTCTTTAGTTTCGGACATGTTGCAACCCTTGCAATTGCAGTCGGCATGGCCACGTGCAAATGTTGTGCAACAAAAAAAAGTAAAAAAAGTGAAAAATAAATATGCATGTTCATAAATTACAACAACAACAAAAACACACGCAAACTTTTAGTCTTCCGCGGCTTGTAAAAAACTTGCATGTGGCCATGTGAGAGAGATGAACGGCAAACACAAGAAAATGGGATTGAAGCGAACAATCATACTGATCGCTCACGGGAAAAAGGGCCAGCCTAGAAATAAGCCTAAAATACGGGAGCAACTAATTAACGAGCGCTCCTTTGCGAGCCTCGCAACGATCAGCGCCACTTGGCGCGCTCACAGCCATTCGCCACGTGTCGCGCTCTGGACGCTCCCTCCGGATTTTGTTTTTTTATTTTTACGCACGTGTTTTCGGCTTTTCAAAAGGTTTTTTTCCGGGGTTTTTTGACGTTTTGGTTTTTTACCGGTCTTCCCTAGCTTTTTGATCAAAAAAATTTCGATTTTTTTTCCGCAAAAAATGCATTTTTTTTTTCGCGAGGCACGGCCGTGCATCTTGGAAACGAAAAAAAACGTGTTTTTTGTTTTTTTTTCTTCCGCCAGAGGCACGCTTGTGCTTTCGCGAGAGGCACGGGCGTGCCTCTTTCGGAAAAGGAAAAAAACGCGTTTTCTATTTTTTTTCTTTCGTGAGAGGCACAATTGTGCTTTTGCGAGAGGCACGGGCGTGCCTGTTTCGGAAAGGGAAAAACGCGTTTTCTGTTTTGTTTTTTCTTTCGCGAGAGGCACGGTTTTGCTTCCGCCAGAGGCACGGTTGTGCTTTCGCGAGAGGCACGGGCATGCCTCTCGGAAAAGAAAAAAACGTGTTATCTGTTTTTTTTTCTTTCGTGAAAGGCACGGTTTTGCTTCCGCCAGAAGCACGGTTGTGCTTTCGCGAGAGGCGCGGGCATGTCTCTTTCGGAAAAGGAAAAAAACACGTTTTCTGTTTCTTTTTCTTACGGGAGAGGCACGATTTTGTTTCCGCGAGAGGCACGATTGTGATTTCGTCAGAGGCACGGGCGTGCCTCTTTCTGAAAGGGAAAAAACCCGTGTTCCCGTTTCGGTTTTTTTGTCGGTTTTTTTCGTTCGGTTTTTTCATGAAAAAAAAGTTCGTCAAAACCTATCAACATGGGATCTAGTTTTAAAGATCTCGACGCGAGGAATCCAATGACGAAAGCGGTTCGAGATTTGGACGCACGGTTTAAAAGATAAAATATTTTGAATAAACGAATCTATGAAAAAAGGGAAAACTCCCAGGTTGCGACAAATGGTGCACATGCAGCGCGTCACTTGTCGCAACCTGAGGAAGTTGGAGTGATCTCCGCAAGAAGTACTCCTTAATTAGTGATTTCGCTAAAATACATATAGACAATGAAAAAGCCACACAACACCCGCCACAGTCAGCCCATGGCTTGTTCATGTCCAACACAGATTTTTTTTTGAGAATCTCACAAAGCTTTATTACTGAATCATAATGTTCATAGGTACAAAAAGAAGATCGCCGGGTTGTCCTAACCAAGTGTGTCGGCCAAACCCTAAAGATAACGCATGCTTTGCGAGATTATGGGCCTCCGTATTGGAGGTCCTATACTCATGAGTAAACGAACATGAAATAAAGGTAGTTGCTCTAGTCTTGATTTCCTCGACAATGGCTCCAAATTCTGTTGAGCTTCCCTGTCTGATTGCATCTACCACCACCTTGCAATCGGAGGCAACAAGTAAATGGTTGATATAGAGATCTTCTGAAAGTGCTAATGCCTCCCGAACAGCTAGTGCTTCTAGCACTTGGGGGTTGTGCAGTCCTCTGAAAACGAGAGCTGACGCTCCCATGAACAAACCTCTCTCATCCCTGCAAACCACACCAACTGCGCCAAACGTACCTGGGCGTGACACGGCCGCGTCCACATTGAGTTTGTAGTAATCTGTTGGTGGTGGAATCCACGTACGGGGTCGTGGTACTGCTATCCCATGTGCTTCCTCCTTCTTCTTCTTCAAAAACTCTATGTCTGATAAGTAAGCTTTGATGAAGTTGTCAGTGGCAAACGGAGTCTGGTATATATCCTCATGTATAGCTTTCCGTCTTGCACTCCAAATCGCCCATAAAGTAACAATCATCAACTGAAATTGCTCCGGTGGAAGAGAGTCATTCATGGCAAAGAGCCACAGCCGTGCGT